GAGAGAGAGAGAGAGAGAGAGAGAGAATTTTTTAATATTTATTTTTTAGTTCTCGGCAGACACAACATCTTTGTTGGTATGTGGTGCTGAGGATTGAACCCAGGCCGCACACATGCCAGGCGAGCGCGCTACCACTTGAGCCACATCCCCAGCCCAGCAATACTAAGTATTGATCCCAGGGATGTGCTGACCACTGAGGTAAACTCTTCTTTTTATTTATTTATTTTTTATTTTTAGATAGGGTCTTGTTAATTTGCTCAGGCTGGCCTTGAACTTGTGATCCTCCTGCCTAAGTTTCCCCAGTAGCTGAACTATAGGTGTGTGCCATTACACCTAGCTGTTAGCATCAATTTGAAAGGACACATTAAGTGAGAAGTAGTGGGACATCCAGTGGAATTCTTATTGGTAGACAAAGGGAAGCTCAGTACTGCAGCCACCATCATTACTACAGATACACATCTGGCCACCTTGTGAAGTGAGAGGTGGTTCATGAGCTAGATCAACCAAAGCAAAATAGTCCCGCCAGTGATCATGTAACAGCTTTACTAGGAAAACAAATGAGTCTTAGTCTTTGCTCAACAAACTTGGAATGATTTCCAACAGACCATCTGTTTGTTTGTCTTCATCATTATTGAAAGTAACTGTCTCTGAGTTAAAGGGCTAACAAATTTCAAGTGCCGCAGATTAGATAAAGATTTGGAAGGATCTAATGTCTATGGGAAGGAGACTCCTTTGGTGTAGAAACTTCAAATATTATGTATCTTGATTGCTGTTGTGGATTGAATGTGTCCAAAAGTCATTGTTGGATAACTAATCCTCAAAGCAACAATGTTGGGAAGTGAAACCTCAGGGAGGTGTTTAGGTAATAGGTCTCCTGGATGGATTAATGCCATAAAGGCTGGTCATAGGGAGTGGAGCCATTATTGCCTTTTCACCTTCCACCATATGAGAGGTGCAGCAAGAAAGCCTCTATTAAAAAAAAGGTACCTTTGCTTTGGACCTCCCAATCTTCAGAGAACTGTGAGGAAATAAAATTCTGTTCTTTATAAATTACTCAGTTTCAGGTTCTGTTATAGCAACATAAAATATACTACTCTACCTTTATTGCACTATATGAACTAAGTTATTGCTTCATAAATTTGTAATATACCCTGGATTTTTTGTTTGTTGTTGTTAGTTTGGGTTTGTTGTTGTTTTGTTATGTTTAGGGGATTTTGTTTTGCTTTGTGGTACTGAATATTGAACACAGAAGTGCTCTACAACCAAACTACATCCCTTCCATTTTTTGTTTTTTTGTTTGTTTTTTGAGACAATTTCTCACTAAGTTGCAGAGGCTGATCTTGAATTTGCAATTCTCTTGCCTCAGATTACTGAGTAGCTAGGATTTTATAAATGTGTGCCATTGTACCAGTCGGGTTTTTTTTTGTTTGTTTTTGTGGTCCTAGGGATTGAACCCATGGCCTTGTGCATGGCAAGGCAAGCACTCTACCAACTGGGCTATATCCCCAGCCCTATATCCTGTTTTATTTTGTCTGAATATATAGTTTTTAGGGGACTTAGTTCAGTAGCAGAGTACTTGCCTAGTAAGCCCAAGGTCTTGGGTTCATTTCCAGTACTGGAGAAAGAAAAAAAGAAGATAAATGTATAGTTTTTAAGTTTTTGCTTTTATGTTGTTGTTTTTTGGTTTTGGGGTTTTTTTTGGGGGGGGGGAGTTTGATTTGGTTTTGAGACAGGGTCTCTTTATGCTGCCCAGGCTGACTCTCAACTCCTGCTCTTGAGCAACCCTCCCCCCACCACACCCTCTCAAGCAGCCAGGACTCCAGATGCAGGCTAAAATGCCAAGCTTTGTTTTTGAATTTTTTTTTTATTGGAGAAAACCAATTAATTACATAATTAAGAACATAATTAAGAATAGTTTAAATATTTTAATATTTAAGATATTAAGATACATAACTTGAGTAACAGACATTGCAAAGGTCCCACCTGCTCTGAAATGGAAAGAGAAAAAAAAAAGCCAACGATGCAAAAGAGTTGGCAAATCGTGTGGTACACCATAAATATAATTTTAATTGTCAATTTAAAATAAATTTTTTTAAAAAAATAAGTTAATAAAAAACTGGGAGTTTACATTTCATGAAAGCTAAGAAAAGAGAGCTCTTAAATGATGTCTAAGTAGCAACCAAAGATCAGAGAGGATAATAAGTAACTCAGTGCCTTTTAACCACCCTGCATTTCTTTGTATCTCCCACTCCAAATCTATTCTGTTCATCTCTCACCCCAACTCCCAACTTCCAAGTTCAGGTTCTGAAATTAACACCTACAGCAAAAGAGTAAAATTAGAGAAAGTAAGACCAATGGAAATGAGATACCCTTCAGATCAATAAAATGTTCTATTTTTCAATTTCTGGAAAAAATTACACAACTGGTTGAAGCACATAAAAATTGTCTGTAGACTGCATTAGCCCTGTTCTACACAGTGGAGTAAAGCAAATGAAAGCAGACGCAACATCACACAAACCCAGTGCGAAAAGCAAGAGTTAATTCACCTAGACTACAGGCCCAGAAAGTCTGGGGAACTTTTTAAAAACCTTTGTTTAAAATGCTCACACCAGCGGGTTATGGGGGTGCATGCCTGCAATCCCAGCAACTCCAGAGGCTAAGGCAAGAGGACTATAAACTCCAGGCCAGCCTCAGTGACATTATTAATGAGACCCCATTTCAAATTTTTTTTTAAAAAGTGGGAGGGGGCAGGCTGGGAGTGTGGCTCAGTGGTAGAGAATTCCTGGGTTCAGTCCCCACTACTGTAACAAGTAAAGTTCTTGTAGCAGACCACCTTTCACATATTGCATGTTTAATCTGTGTTCATGGAACAAGTGTTGGGCACACTGAGGCAGACAATTATTCTGCCCCCAAAAGAAGAGAAAGGACTTTCTTTGTGTATAAGACCTTCTGAAGAGATAACATGGGCCCTCTAGTACTTTGAGCCCATGATTCCCATGTCATTCTTCTCCATAATATCACCAATGGGGCTAGGGTTGTGGCTCAGTGGTACAGGGCTTGTCTAGCATGTTCGAGGCTCTGAGTTTGATCCTCAGCACCACACAAAAATAAATAAATAAAATAAAGGCATTGTGTCCAACTACAACTAAAAAAATATTTTAAAAAAATATACATCACCAATATTTCCAACTAACCCTGCCTATTCAACAACGTGTCTATGATCACTTTTTTCATTTTCTGCCCCATATACTCTTGGCAAAGTAGCAGCTCTTTTATGTCTCTGATATTAATAATAGTTCTGGGTTCTCTTGGTCTGCTGGTCACAATGGCATACCAATGGAGAGAGTTTGGCAATGCCAGGCAATTCTGAATCTGTTGTCCTCTGGACACTGGTCCTGACTGTGCCTCCTGAGCAACATTCATACTCACTTCACACTACTTGAGAGCCCACCTCTCACCTGTGCCAGGGAGCAGTCTTAGGCCCAGGGCCTTACTTTCCTCTCTGTCTTTTGGGCCCACTGTTACCTCAGGCTGTGGCACTTAAATACTTATGGAAAAAACATATGAACAGAATAATGAACAAGTGTGTCAATACACTGTGCTGTTCAAATGTG